CTTGACCCCAAGAAAAATCACGCGGATGTTCTTCCCGGGGCAGTTTGCCAGGCATGTTGTTCAATCCTATGTTTTGAAACTATTGACGCTAATCATATCACTTTTCATTTGTCCTTTTAATGCCTACTTCATGCTTAATAGGTTCAAGTGTTTGCCAATGCCATTGCTGCCTCTCACGCAAGGATCCAACAGTTTGATGTCGTCAAGAAGGAGCTCAACTACACGGGACGAAGCCCTATCTCAGGTCACGGGCATTGCTGGGGAATTGTCTTGGATTCCCAGTCTTGAGCGTGTGAGGCCAAAAAGGTGTGTAGATGTTTTGAGAATGTGCTTTTGTTTCAATTGTCTCACATCTAATGTGAGCTTTGTACTCTTCTGTACCTCAGGTTATCAACCATATATTGGCTGATGACGAGGAAGGTTACTTCAACGGTATTACTATTAGTTGGGATGAATGGCGAGCTGTCAAGGCACTGAATCACCTTCTGGAGGTGAGCTTTTACTTTTGATTGTCTTATGTTTTCTGATAATGACTGAAGGTTGTTACCATTCAAGTTCTTTACAGTCTCAACCAAGTTAATGGAGGGTGACGACTCAAATGCCTGTCACATACTATACCACTTCCAATTAATGATTGCCGAGCTTCAAAGTCAACAAAAATTGACCATTTTCCCCAGCCTCAAGGAGATGATTGATGTGATGATTACAAAGCTCAAGTCATACAAGTCCAAAGTCTTAATGTGTGATGCAGTTGTTCTAGCCACTGTACTTCACCTATCATATCGCCTCAAGTTTTTTGAAGAGATGTATCCCGACAAAGCTGACCAAATTTTGACTTTGCTGGCTCTAAAGCTTAGCGAGCTACCTGAATCAAACCACAAATCTCAACAGGACACTCTGGATCTAGATGAGTTGATCCAATAGTTTGGGATGAAGTGAAAAATAGAACTTGTGCCCAAACATTTGATGGCGTGAAGAGTACATATTTATATAGTAACTATTATAAAGATAATTTGATATGATATGTTTATACTGGAAAGAGTAACTTGTGTGTATGTGAAACTACATAGAACAACAGCGCCCCCTGCTCTGGACACGTATATCACTAGTAAATCAGGTCATAATTGATATATAATGTTGAAATCTAGACAATGAGTTAAAAAATTAATAGAGATGAAAATAGAAAGAAAATGAAATAATTGATAGATAAAAAGATAAAATGAAAAATAGAAACTGAAAAATCAATTGAACAAATAAGAAAGAAATTGATAAAGAAAATTATAAGAAAGAAATTGATAAAGAAAATTAAGCAAGCCATTTACCCCCTCTATGACCAGTCCGCGGAACATATGTGTTGTGTGTAGACCTGAAACGTGAAGGGCAGATTTTGTCATATGCTCACAGTGTGGCCAAGGAATTGTCTTTTGATGATATTGTAGAAGGCACCACTTGGTGACATACTATAGGGCGGAACTTACTTTTGTAAGCATCAGTGGTTGCACTGTGCACCACTTTGTTGTCCCCATCCACATTTCCAACCAGCAAACTGCACTTGTCCAAAACAACATTTGTCGCCGATTTGGTAAGGAAGTCGGCCGGCATGTCTTTTGTGTTGATTTGAGCTGGTGTGATGATTTGCCGTCGAACAAGATCCCGGATGAAGTGGTGTCGTATGTTGATGTGCTTAGAACGTGAGTTGACCACAGCTTCATTTGATAGGAACACGGCACCATTGTTGTCGTTGAAGGTTGTTGTCGGTGGCATATGGATCTTGACTGGAGGTGGAGAGCAAAGAGTTAAAACATACAATAGCTTTCTAAACCATAGCACATGTTCCGCACAGTCTCCCATTGCCATGTACTCTGCCTCAGTAGTTGACAGAGCAACACTCCGTTGGCCTCTGCTCCTCCAGCACACAGTTGAACCACCAACTGCGATTGTATAGCCCGTCTTCGACCTTTGTGTCGCAACATCGTTTGCATAATCGGCATCCACGTAAGCTTTTAGCTCCCTAGACGGAACATCATGACCACCAAACGTCATACCTCGCGACAGTGTACCTTTGACGTACTGTAGCAGGTGTTTGACGGCGGTGCAGTGAGAGTGCCCATATGCGGACGAGTACTGAGCCAGCATAGATACGGTGTGGCAGATGTCCGGGCGAGTGTTGATGGCTGCATGATTCAGGCTTCCGATGATTTCTCGATATGGGAAATCCCGTGCTTGATTCACATCTGCTTCATTTGGAATGCTGAGTTTGGTGGATGTGTGAATTGGAGTGGGGACAGCATTGGAATCATCCATGCCAAATTGTTCCAGAACATCAGACAGATAATTTTCTTGAGAGATATGAATTGTCCGACGTTTGCAATCACGTGTGACCTTTATCCCAAGATGTTCAGTAGGTTCATCGTACCATTTGATGTCAAAGATTGAGAATAGCTCCTTCTTGATTGCCTGCATAATTTCTACAGAGCTAGCTACCACTGTTCCATCATCGACATGCATGTGTACATGTGCATATTCTTGACCTACACGCTTTGAATACAAAGAATCATCGACTTCAGTGGAATGTAGTCCGATAGATGCATATCTTTTCTTCAGAGTCGCGTTGAACTGTCTGTGAGCTTGTTTAGTGCCGTATACAGATGCGTCCAATATCATTACTGAAGAACTTCCATCTTTGAATCCGGTGATTTGAGTAGTGATTATTGGCACATCAGTTTTTCCCGTGAGGAATGCAGTCTTGATGTCAAATGAACATATTTCAAGATCCTCTGAAGCAGCAAGTGCGTACATTGTATGCAGGGACTCCTTGACCCCAACTGAAGCGTACATGTTGAAGTAGTCGACTCCGTGTATCTGGCGGTCGCCACAAATAACCCATCTTGCCTTGTATCGAATGATGTTGCCCTGCGTGTCACGTTTTTGTAGTAATCTCCACATGCCAGCCAGGTAGTACATTGGTATCGGTTGGTCTTGGAACCAGTCTACCAATCCTGTGTTTCACCAGAGATGTGTACTCTTCTTGCATGGCCTCGATCCAAAGAAGTCGTTCTGGTCCGCGCATTGCTTGAGCATAAGATGGCTCGTCAGATTCAGTTGAAGATCTGGTCACCGCAGCGTATGTCCTGAAATTTCCAAGCTTATTTATAGGATTCTTTTGTCTAACGGGTCGTATAATCGGAACCTTCACTGGAGTCAGTGTCAATGGTCGTAGTACCGGCGGTTTGATTGGTGACATTTGAGGCTCTGATTGAGAAGCTTGAGATGATTGTTCAGGTTGTGGATCTATGCAAGAGGGGAAATGCCATTCGTCATCCAATAATGTTGGGATGTCGGAACGGTGTTGCTCCATCTGATTCCTCATTGGAAATGAGTTCTCAAGGAACGTTACGTCTCTTGATATCACCATGCGCCTTGTCTTTGGACACCATAATCTATACGCTTTAGCACCAGATTCGTATCCCACAAGTATCATTGGTGTGGCGGTAGGGTCAAGTTTCTGTCTTGAATCTTTGTGTACATGGACATACGCGCAGCAACCTATCACCCTCAAGAACTTGATATCACCTCTATGTCCTCCACCCATTGCACATATTGATGTATATAACGAGTGAGGTGATTGATTGTTGATTGAGCGTGAAGGTGAAAGATTGAGTATATAAGACATCGCTAATATGATCTCACCCCATAGGAAATTAGGGAGATTAGCATGGATCATCACCGCCCTAGCCTTCTCAACAATAGTGCGATTAAACCGTTCAGCAACCCCATTCTGCTCAGGAGTTTGAGCAGGTCCTTGTTCAAGAATGATACCCTTGGCTGCAGCAAATGCTCTCAGTCGGATTGATGTATACTCACCTCCGCGATCACTCTTGAATATGCATACTTTGTGATTTGTTTGCCTTTCTACTTCCTCAACGTAATTTCTGAACACATCAAAAACTTCAGATTTCTTCTTGATTAGAAACAAACGACTATATCTGGAAAATTCATCAATGAAAGTTACAAAGTATCTGTTTCCTGATGGAGTAGTAGATTGTATTGGACCAACTACATCACTGTGGATTTGGTACAAAGGACGGGAAGTGTGTGGAAGGGAAGAGGACGATTTGAACTGTTGACAATGTGATTTAGCTTGTATACAACTCGTGCAACTATGTTTGGAGGAATTCTCTGAGTTGCAAAATCAATGAAGAGCCGCGGAGTGCAGATGACCCATACGTTGATGCATGATGTCAGTAGATGCACTAAAAGACTTGGACAGGATGGAGTGTTTGATAGCTGGTTGCGTATTTGGTGGATGTGTAGATTGCTGAGACGTTGAGTCTGAGCTTACCTTTACTGTCCACAAATTATCTCAATCACGGACTCTAGATGCCTCTAAACGGGATTTATCCTCGGAATTGATGAAAGAAAGATGATTTGCATCACCAAACACTTTGCAACCATTATCACAAAGCTTCACTGCTGAAATTAGATTTACAGCTATAGCAGGGCATACAGAGCGTTGGTGAGAATGATCATATGTTGTTTCCTGAACACGTCGAATGATGAGATGTGCACCAAACCAGATTGATTGGCATGCATGTTGCA